CCTGTCTGTCCTTCCTGACAGAATGTGCTCAGCATGTTTGTCGTGTTTGTTTAATGATATCGCCATCTTTAATTTTGCACTGCTGCCTGCAGAGTTGGGCCCACAGTCCACTTTCTGGACACCCAGCTCTGAAGGCAGCACAGTGATAAGAGCAGCAAATAACCTTGCAACGGCCCTGCATGTCCCTTTTGGATCAGGCCCCCCAATTTGAGAAACGCTGGTCTCCCCTGTGAAATCTGTATAATGTAGGATAAAAGCACACAACCAGATTTCATGGTCTGAGACATGTTTTTCATGATCGTGAATTTGGTAGGTTCTAAATGATGTAGTATAAATGGATGTGATAAGGTAAAATTGCTGGTGCAGGAATGTGGTAAATTTCACTTGCTCACACAAATGAAGCATACAGGTGCAGAGTGGAAATCTACACAGCAAATCTTTCTAATCCCTAATGTTATATTATAATTTAGTGTTGCCTTACTGGCTGCCTTGACACCCACATTGTTCTGACCATATCACCTCGACTTTAAATTCCTCAAGTGGTTCATCGGTCACTATCAGTGAAGAGGTGGCTCTTCCTGTTTTTTCTAGCTGTAACTCAGTTTGCTAACTTGCAAGTGAAGGGAAAGCAGTTGCCATTTTCTAGAATTTTAATTTGAGGTAGTCTGCTTCAAGATACTGATGTAAGATTGCATTATTTTTCCTTCAGTGAAGACAAAGTCTAACAGCATGGGGTTTTTACATGATTCTTGGGTCGTGGCCAAACAAAGAGCAGTTTTCTCTAGAACTACTGGTGGTCTTGCATAAGTGCTTGTTTAGCATATCGATTGTTTAGCATATTGATTAGGTTTTGTGTTTGTAATTTTCAAGCACTGACTTTTTTATGCCTTTATACAATAGAGGTCTATAGTGCTGTATCACAGAAATTTTCCCTTATTCCTTTAAGGAAAGACTGATATAGCAAAAAGGTAACTTCTTAGGGTATGTCTAAACTACCGAGTTAAACAAGGAGAGCGTACAAGCTGCAATGTGACTTTTGTTGTGGAAAAATGCCCAGATTTGGTGACTAAAAAATCCAACGTAGGAGAGACTTTTTTTCCCCTCCCCTCCCTTTATTGTCAACAAAGAACCAGTGTAGACTCTGCTGTTTTTTGTCCACAACTGGCTTCCACCAGTGTCCCACAATCTGTGCTCTGATGGCTGTACTCTGTATATTGTGATCTCTGCAGGCCTGCGGCCCTGTCCCCTTTCAAAGCCCTGGGAAGTGTCTGACTGCTAAGTGAGCTGCTTCCTTGGGGGAACAAAGAAAATCATAGGACTGCTCCTCTTCTGCCCTTTACTAGGAACACAGCAGCAGACAGAGTGCTGCTGTAGGGGGAGAGGCTTCTGTGCTGCTCTCTCTTTCCTCAGCAAAGAAAACTCACAGAGCTACTCATAATTCTGCTCCTAGCAGCTGAGGACTGGCTGTGGGAGAACTTGGAGGGTATCCCAAGATGTGATCAGCACAACACTGTGGGATACGTACCCATAGTGCATTGCTTACACGGCACATTGTTGTTTTGTCAATATTTGTGTATCAGTGAGAGTTTTGTTGTCAAAACTCTCTACTGTAGATATGCTCTTACCTTGGGAGCAGTTTCCGGGCGCCTCTGTCTATTAGGTCAGTGGTTCCCAGACTTTTTTATACTATGGACTGGCAAACACATTCACGAACTTTTGGCGGACTGGTGTCATTTTATTTGCATATTGATTATACAAATAAATATGCAAATCAAACGTTGCCAGTCTGCCAAAAGCCCAGAGTGCTCCCCCCCCAGCCCTGATCCCTAGAACCTGCACTGCTCCCCCTGTGCTAGTCACTGACCTGAGTCCCCTGCACCCAATCCCCCCAGTGGCAGCCTCCCACCCTCAGAGCACCCATCCCATATGCCTCAGTGCCAGCTCCCTGAGCCTTAGAGTTCCCCCCCCACCACCAGACCTCCCAGTGCCAGCCTCCTGTTTCCAGAGCCACACTGCACCCAACCCCCTGATCTTCCCCAGTGCCAATGCCCTGTCCCCAGAGCGCGCCCCCCCCCCCGTGCCAGGCCCGCCCCCCTCGCCCTC